CAGTGGCTGGCAAGCGGCTGGCGTGCTGGCGGACGGCCTGGCGCATGTCCTGGCAGGAGCTGCTGCCCTGCCTGGACAAGGCGGCGGAGTTGGGAGCCCGCCGGGCCCTCTTCTTCCTGCAGGGCCAGCGCAAGGTGCGGACGGTGCTGCTGGGGCGCCGGGACAGCAGCCTCCTGCCGCTCGCCCGCAGTGCCGTCCACGAGGGCTACCATGAGGCTGTGCTGGGAACGCTGGACGAGGGTGAGCTAGACTCACAAGAGCTGTGTCTTGCATCTCTGGGAATCAGGGCTGTTTGGTGCTCCCCACCCCCTCCAATGATGCCACCCCCCCATTGCAAGATCCCGTGGGGGTGCACCCCCAGGGCGTCCGACAGGCCAGGGTGGGTGCGAGCCATGCGAGTCCCACTCCCCTGGAGCTGGCTTATCGCAGAAGTGGGCTGGTTTGGGGTGACCTGCAGCCTGGCTGTGGCTTTGCAGCCTCCTTTTATTTTCTAGTTGCCTCTACGGCTGGTGACGCTGGCATTGCAGCACGGGCGCTCGCCTGCATTGCCGAGGTCCTGGGCTGCATGGCACGAGGGGAAGGGGGCTTGCGGAGCGGGCCCGCTGCTAACAGGGAGTGGGCCTCGGCTTTTGGGCACCTGGAGAGTGGGGACATTGCTGGCGGTGTCCGGGAGCTGGCTGCCGAGCGGCAGAAGTGGATGAGCAGGTGAGGCTGGGGCTGGTGAGCAGCAGGGGCCCCATCCCAGGCATCGGCGCAGTCAAGGAGCCGTGGCGGTGGGCTCAGCGTCCCTCTCTTCCCAGGCCGGCTCTGCTGGTGAGAGCGGCTCGGCATTACGAGGGGGCAGAGCAAATCCTCATCCGGCAGGCAGTGATGTCCTCGTGCCAGTTTGTCACAGTGGGGCAGGTGGAGCTGCCACCCTTGGGGCACTGGGTGCAGGTGGCGTGTCCGGCCCGCCTGGACCTCTCTGGTGAGCGCATCCCCCCAGGCAGATGACCCATGTCTCACCCTTGTGACGTTGGGGAGCTGATGGTGAGCCTTGGCAGGCGGCTGGAGTGACACCCCCCCCATCACGTATGAGCACGGGGGGGCCGTGGTGGACGTGGCAGTGCTGGTGGATGGGTGCCGGCCCATTGGTGCCCGGGTGCGGCGCATTAGCGAGCCAGAGCTGCGCCTCGTCAGCCTTGGCGGGACGTCACGGAGTGAGGCAGTGGCAGAGCTGGTGTGCCGAGAGCTGGAGCACTTGCAGGATTACTGCCAGCCGCATGCGCCAGGTGAGGTGTCACCAGCTGCACAGCCTGGCTCTGTACGTGTGATAACCCCTTAGTGTCCTGACCCCATGGTGCCAGGGTAGCCCTTTTTGGGCACGATGGGGTGAGGGAGCAGGTAGCGCAGTGGGCGTCAGCTTTGCTTTCTTTTTGTTTTCAGGAGCCTTGCTCAAAGCTGCCTTCATCTGCACTCAGGTCGTGCAGTTCCCCTCGCAGAAACCCCTGCAGACCCAGCTGATGGAGAGCTTCGGGGGTGGGTTTGAGGTGCACACCTGGTCCAAGCTGCCCCACGGGTCTGGCCTTGGTAAGTCTGCAGGGAAAGGGCTGGGGAGTCCCTCGCTGGTGCCAGGGAGTCCCTTCTGCTGCCAGCACTGGGATGGAGTATCCCCCTTGCTGCCCCACGGCAGGGAGCCCAGCCCCAGCTGTCACAGTCATGTGTGGTGCCTTGCTGCCCTGGCCCCGCCTGTGCTCCCTGCAGGTACCAGCAGCATCCTGGCAGGAGCGGTGATGGCATCGCTGTACCGGGCGGCCGGGAAGGCTGCCAGCACCGAGTCCCTCATCCATGCTGTGCTGCACCTGGAGCAGAGGCTCACGACAGGTAGCAGCTGGGGGGAGCAGCCAGCCCACAGGGAGGGGAGCTGCAATGGTGGCTGAGGACCCTCTGCCCTGCAGGCGGTGGTTGGCAGGACCAGGTGGGTGGGCTCGTGCCCGGCATCAAAATCGGGAGGTCGAAGGCCCAGCTGCCGCTCAGGGTGGAGGTGGAGAAGATCCTGGTGCCCGACAGTTTTACCCAGACCCTCAACGATCACTTGCTGCTGGTGTACACGGGGAAGACTCGCCTGGCCCGCAACCTGCTCCAGGTAACGCCTGGGTGCCCCTGGGTGCTGCAGGCTCTGGCCTCTGCTCCCCCTGTGGCCTTTGGTGCCTGTCCCCTTTGCTGGTGCAGAGCTTTGCCACCCCAACGGGAGCTGGCACCAAAAGCTGCGGGTGCAGCATTACCTCCCTGGGTGCTGCTGGAGCCAGGAGGATGGCGACAGGGTCGTTCTGGCCTCTTGCAGGATGTGGTGAGGAACTGGTATGCCAGGCTGCCCTGCACCGTGCAAAACGCTGACGCACTGGTGAGCAACGCCGAGGAGTGTGCCCAGGCCTTGAGGCAAGGTGTGAGCCCCCTTTCCTGGGTCAGGCTGACCCTTTTAACGACTGAAGAAACACAGACTTCCTTGGGGAGACTCTGTGCAGTCCCAGGGGTGAAAAGGCTGGGGGGTTGCAGGCTCTTGCAGCTGCAGAAGTCTCAGATCTTCCCACTGGCATGTTAGAGGCAATGCCCCAAAATTCAGGCTTGAGTGAAGATTTGAGGAAGGGGGGTTAGACACGCCAAGTCTAGTTGATTTTCTGTGAGCCATCCGTGATGGGGCTGGGGGCCATGCCTAACCTGTGTGGTGGATTCATTTGGCCTTTAGCTGCTGGGATGCTGTGGAGGGGAAGCCGGAGCATTAAAGCAAGCAAATTCCCCCATGGAGGATTAAAAAATAAACAGCAACATAACAGCTGGGTTTGCTTGCTTGGCAGGCAGAGCTGGGAGGAATTGGGTAGATGAGAAGGCGGAATTTATCTTGGGCTGAGCAGGAAAGGCAGGGACAGGTTTCTGCCTCTTGAGCAAGAAATAGAGGCAAATAGTTTGCCCCTGCAGGTAACCTGCCGCTCATCGGCAAGTGTCTGGACCGCTACTGGCAGCAGAAGAAATGCATGGCCCCTGGGTGCGAGCCACTGGCCGTCAGGCGCATGATGGATGCTCTACGGCCCTACGTCTACGGGCAGTGCTTGGCTGGGGCTGGTGGCGGTGGCTTCCTTTACGTCTTAACCAAAGTCCCTCTGCAGAAGGAGGCTTTGCACCAAATTCTAGCAAAAACTGAGGTGAGATATGAGCTCCCAGGTGGCTCACTGTCACAGGTGGCTTCCAGATGCTTGCTTTGTATCGCGCAAGCACTAGAAGCATCTTGCCCTGCTACGAGTGGGATGAGATTGCTTGTCCCCTTAGCCTTCCCCAGGACCTTGGAGGTGAGAACAGGTTCCTTGCTGGCTCCTGCCCCAACCTGTAACTGGGTTTTTTTTGTTGTTTGTTTGGGTTTTTTGTTTGTTTGTTTTTTTCTAGGGACTGGGCAACTTCAGCATCCACAGCATCGCAGTGGACACCAGCGGTTTCTCTGTGGAGGTTGTGGGATGTGATCTGAAGGACGGTGCTCACCCTGGAGAGGACATGGCTGTGTGAAGGCCTTCAGCCCTGACCCACTCCCAGCAGATACGCAGAGCAAGGGAGGGAGCAGTCAGCTGCCTTCCAAAGCAGGGAAATCCTCACTGCTTCTCTAAAGCTCCTTCAGCCAGCTCCAGCAGGTGCCTTAGGTCTCAATGTGGCCTTTTTGTGCTGCTACATGCCCCAGTAGCCACAGGGGCTGGAGAAGCTGTGACGAGCTGGGCAGGCAAAACCATCCCTGGAGGGCGGTCCTGCTGGAAGCACAGTTTGCTAGGGCCTCCAGGCTGATTTTGGGGGTTCACTCCAGTTTTCGTGGTTCTCCAAAGGGAAAAGTATAGCATTTGTGATGCTGCCTCTAGCAGGAATCTTCATGCTCTTCCAGCAGCACGGGCCCATGCTGTCTGTTCGGCATGCAATGCTCCTGCACCAAGGATGCACCCAGATGTGGGATCAAGTCCCTCTCCCATGCTGAGAGAATATTTCTGCAGCGAGTTTAGTCCCTGCAGCCTTGTGGAATAAAAAAAGCTTGTTCCCAGTATGTGTTTATGCCCCTCTGTCCCTAGCGGGGCTCCTCCTTCCCCGCAGGATAGCAAGGGCCCAGCCATTTGAGGGGCAAAGCTCTTCTAGGGGTGGGTATGGCAGAACTTGGGTGCAGGGGCTGGTCATCGCCCTCCACAGCCCTGGCTGACGGGAGACAGCAGGGGAGTGCTGCTGCAAGAAGCCGCCAAGCGGCAGGTTGGCACCAGGTTCCCTCTCAGAAGTGTCTGTACTCATGATAACACCGGAGCCAGCTGCAGCAGGAAGATTCTCTTGATGCTGTGGCACAGGGTAGAAGAGGAGAAACTGTGGACAGCTCTTGTCCCGCATCTCTCCAGCTCCCTCCAGGCCCACAGACACACACACACCACCCGAGGCTGCTGTTTAGCCAGGTGAGGTTTATTTACAGAGTAGTTGTACAGGGCACAGCAAACCACCAGGGACGCAGCCCCACTTCTTACAGCGGCTTTCTAGGGATTTTTCCAAGCACCTTCCACACAAGGAAATACTCCTTTTCCCTTCAACAGAATGGTCCCCATTGCCACCAGGAGAGAGCCAGGTCTCAGGGTTTGTAAGACTGCAGTAGCTGAGCCTTGAACTGGTGGTACAGAAGGAACACTGCAGCCAGCAGCGTGGGCAGAGCACTCTCTGCAGACCCATATTTGAACCACACCACAACAGCCCCCAAATTTCCTGACCTGTGGCCTCTCGCAGGGCAGCGGAATGAAGGGATTCAGGAGGTAGCACAAGCTTGTCCCTCAGACTAGCATGTGTTTTCAGAAACTGTCATGCTGCTCTCAATGTGAGAGATGCCTCTGCTGCCTTGTTTCTGCTCCCACAAAAGGATGGCAGCTCTTCTTCCTGGGCCCATGAAAGCCCTTTGCTCTGAGGAACATGAGCAGAAGGGCAGACATCACCCCATCCCAACACCATCTAACAGCCAGCCAGCCCCAGGCCAGGACCTGGGCAAGCTCCAGGGTTGCAGCCCTCCTGCTGTTACCTCCAGCGCGGTGCTGACCCAAGCACCAACCAACTACAGGCGTAGCCGCTTGATATCCTCGCTGCGGAAGTCAATTCGGAGAGCCAGCACCTGCCGGACTTCGGCTGGAGTAAGGCGCCAGGTGAGTGGGCCTGAGTTTGGGCCCCAGTAATCCAGGATCTCTGTCACCTGGAGAAAGAGGAGAGCTGCAGGAGACAACTCGGCACACACTGCCCTCACAGGTGAGTTCAAACTCTGGCTGCTGTCATGGTATTTCCTGCCACTAACCCCCTGCAGGCAAACACCCATCAGGCACAGGGCAACATTTCCAGCTTCTCCATAGCCCATAGATGTGACAACATCTGGATGAGCCCAGTAAATCCACGTAGAGTCCAGCTGGGGCTCCTGCAGTCCCCCAATAAAAGGAGACAAAAGTGCAGCTCACCCTTTCCAGATTGAGGATCGTGGCCATCTGGGAAAGACGGGCAAACTTGTCGCGGATAGTCCAAGTGGTGACTGTGGTGAGATAGGCTATGAGAGACCTCAGCTCCTTGTCAAACTGCAGACCACCAAGCTGTGGGGACCGAGGGAGCTCTGTTAACTCTCTGAGCAGGCCCAAGGGTTGTGCCAAACACACAATTAACAAAAGTTACAGGGGCGCAGGGGGAGGTCTCTGAGCAGGAGGGTTCCAGTTAGACCATTTATTGCAGCTTAAATGGGCTTATGTTTAGACCCACCTTAGAAGCCAGCTCCCTTATTGATGCAAGGTCTTCCCAGCCCCATCACAAAATACACTTTCTCCCTGTGTGTGCTAATGCAAGGTCTCCCTGAGCTGGCCACCGGCGGTGGTAGAGCTTCTCTGAGAGCAACATTTGCCTCTGCCCTGCCCAATCCCTCTACTGAGGGTTTTCCTGATGGAGGGTTTGCAGTCAAGCCAGACTGAAGGGTAGAGGACAGTGTTTTGCTTACCCTGCTGAAGGTGGATTTGAGCAGCACTTTCTCCAGCTCGATGGCTATGAGACTGGTCATAAGACCAGTGAGGGTGTCATAAATCACTGGAGACAGTCCAGCCTGGAAGCAGAAACCCATGTCAATCTTGTCAGGAGCAACTGAGTGGAGCTCTGCAAAACCCAAGCCCTGTGAGAGCTTTCAAATAAAGACCCATCGCTTGCAGGCTCAGCAAGCGGAGACCACCACAGAAGCGATCCAGGTATGTGGGACTTGCAAGCAGGCTTTCAGAATTGCTGAAGGGGGTGACTGGGTCTCCAAGAGCCCTGCAAGGCACTGGAGGACATCTCTGTCTGCCATTCCCCTGAGCAGGGGAAGAGTTGGGAGATGCCATGTGGAGGTCTGGCCAAAGCCTGGCAGGCTGCCACATCCCTCTCTTACCTTGAACTCTGTCATCTGCTGTTCCAGATTGACAATGAATTGCTGGACCCAGGGGTCATTAGCTTCATAGTCGCTGAACTCCTCCTGACATTGAAATACAAAAGCTGTTGTTTATGCAGCAGCAAATGGCCCAGAGGGCAGGAATGGAGGTCCCTCCTGGAGCAGCACTGCACCCCTTCCATTTTCTCAAGCTCTTCTCTAGCCAAATGTCCCTTTCCAGGCTCGGATACAGAGCAAGTTCTGGTTATTTCACTGGTGTTCTGTGCCGAGGGAACAGCAGAGAACTGAGGGGAATGAGACAGCGGTTGCTGACTGTGCTGCTGAGTGGAGCATGGAGGGTGCAGAAGTACGGCTGGAAGCAGAGAATGCTGAGCCTTACCTCCTCGATGTTGTGGGAGATGGAGAGGAATAGGTTGATCCAGGGCTTCACCTGGGGTTTGATAGCTGTGCTGTTCAGCTCATTGAGACCTTCCTGATGGGGACAGGCAGAAGAGAGGAGAGTGACTGACCACAGCTATTGTCCAACGGCACACAATCTTTACAGCCAGGGTGTCTTGATGCTGCCTCCCATCATCGCTGCAAGCTGGGGCAACAGACCCACAGCCTTGCACAGGAAACTGAACCCAGAAGTCTCAGATCCCACGCTCTTCTTGTGGAGGGCTCTGAGGACACCACGATGACAGGAGGAGGAAGGACGTTGGCCCAGAAGCTGCTGTTGTGCTGACTTGCAGCCAGGTCCAAAGGGCTCGTGCTTCCCCCACCCCTGCCCACACAGCTACAGATGTTTCCTGGCAGAAGAGAGGCATTCTTTTCACATCCCACCAGGGTAGGAAAGGACACAAACACCAGCCTCTCCACTCAGCACCAGGCAGGAGGACACCATGATTGAACTCAACTGATGTCTCCCACCTCTGGTGCAGCTTAGCTCAGTAGGAGAAGCTAAAAGGAGGATAAAAGCTGTAACTGCAGTTAGTTCCCTGAATTAATCATAACCCCAGCACACAGCATCTCCCCTGAGCAGCAGGTTGTCAGCAAAGGCTGTTCTGTCCGCTTCAATGCTAGAGAGCTCTCCGAAAGCCCTCTCCTGCCAACTACCCCCATTTGGCCCAGCAAGATGTCAAGAAAGCTCACCCGGCATGAAACTATTCAGGTACTGATTCTGCCTGGCATGATGGAAGTTTTTAACTAAAATTGGCATTTCTAAGCAGGCCCTGCTGGCAGTTGTTCTTTTCCAAGGCAAATTCAATGTGCGTGTGACTCGGGCAGCGCAGGAGCTTGCTGCTCAGCCTCTTGATTGCTTTGCAGCCAGTTTTAATACTGCACTAGAGCTAGACTGGAGAGTTTTACTCCTTACTGATGAGCTCTTTGGTTTCGATACTGACCACAAGCCTCAAGAGGGTTCGCTGGCAATACCAGCCTGAAGGCATCTGGCTGCAGGGAACTGCAAAGCCAAACAAAAAATAGTCTGGCCCCTCTGTAAAGTACAAAGCTGATAGCAAATGTGGTTCAAAATGCTCTCTTTTGCTTGGTTTCTTTCCACAGGAGGTATTAGGTCTCCCTGTTCCTCTCCCTGCCAAAGACCACTGTGAAATTTTAGGGCAACAGGCCCCAGCATGCCACACAAGACAGTGGATTTAGCCAGAGAGCCTTCTGCCCTGTGCCGGGGAGTATTTCCATTTGGGAAAGGAGGAGAAACCCGAGAGAAGAGCAGCTCTTCTCTACCAACAGCCTGTCTTCAGTGTTACCTAGTGAGGCTCTGGACAACTTGACAACATGCTGCGCCATGAGGGAGAATGGAAGAGATGGAAATGCTATTAATATTTCTTCTCCTGAAAATGCTGAACCAACTACAACTCTGTGCTTAGTGAAGACAAATGGAGCAGCATTCCTCCTGGCTCTGCAGCTGCTTCCAGTGTTTTTTACACAGCCACCAGCTGGTGCAGCTGTGCAACTGGGCTGGATCTGTTTCCATGCCTCAAAGCTGACTGATTTACTCCCTCCTGCACCCCTGCCCAGCGGTCCTGGAGTCAGACATGGCCCAGACCTTGGGGAGCTCAGATTCCTGCCTGAGCTCTCCCTGAAGACACTGGCCAGCTAGTGTTGGAGGCCAGCAGTAACTCAGCAAGGCACCCACCTGCAGCAGGTCACGAAATTTGTTGGAGACGGCAGCCATGTCAGAGAGACAGCTGTCAATCTTGGCCTGTGCTTGCTCACCCCCAAAGCCTTGGCTAAGCAGTTTGCTGCAGTCACTCTGCAGGGAAGAGATCCACAAGCAAGTTGCAAATAAATAACCTGGGCAGTTTCTATCCCTTCCTGTTGCTGAGCTCTGGCTGCCCACCATTACACTTGCAGGCTAGGATAGGCGCCAGACTCCCGCCCCTGTGAAGGCAGAGGCTGCTGGCTCCAGCTGGGGAGAGGACAGCAAGAAAGGAAGCCAGAGGCTATATAGCCCAGCACCAGAGAACCACAACCTCTCAATGATGCACATGTTATTCCACTGGCTCCCAGCCTGTGCCAGGTTGGTCAAGCTGAAGGAACTGGTATTTCCAGCTGCTACTATCAGCTGGAGATTGCTCTGCCAGCTCAAAATTGCTTTCCTAAGGCTGGAGGGAAGACCTCAGGAATTTGGGCATAGTGAAGTCCAGATAGATTACTTGACCCCCCTCACCCCCCAAAGGGAGGATATTAGAAATCTGATTAAGAAAAAAACAGTAAAGAATCCAGACTGCACCTCCAAAGTCTTCTTTAGGGTCATGATGTTTTCACTGCAGACTTCCACATTGTTTAAGGTCACCTGGAAAAAACAACAAAACAAACCCAAGTAGAATTCACTGGAACATCCCAGCGTCTCAGCCCCAAGTCCATACGTTTACTCCATGCCCTGCTCACAGTACAGGCTGAAATGCAAATACTTGAGGGACAGAGGTGCTACCCTGTGATCAAAGCATTGCAGATTCACAGAGCTGCATGAAGCTGAACTTCAGTAACTGAGCATGTGTGCTGAACCTGCAGCTAGTACAAAGTTTGAGATAGTTTACTCCTTTTCCTCATCATTCTGTCCACTATGTTGCAGCAAAGCCCCACTCATGGGTTACTGGTGGAAGACAGGATGTACCCCTAACTTTCTGTGACAGTGTCATGAAGAACAACAGACCAGGAATGGCTGGAAGTGACGGTTTATACACCATGTCCAGAGAAGCAGGGGAGGCAGGAGTGTATTTGTATCTAGGCAGGGGAGTCAGCACCTGTCCTGCCAGATGAGTATCTGTTCTTCACTGAACAGACTGTTCCCTACCTGCTGAAGCTGAACTAAACGTCACTATAAGGCTGGGGTTTGTGCAGACAAGGAAATGAGGCAAGCTGACAGGTGAATGAGGAATTCCAGTGGGAGAACTGACATTTTAAGCACTTTGCTTCAAGAAATGCAGAAACCTGTAACCAAGAATTTAATGAAATGGAAGAGTTCAGTCCTTCCCGTTCGCTTTGTTGCCTTCTCTCCTTGTACAGTGAAAGTCCCAAGGAGCCTCTTCAGCACTGGGTGTTCACAGCAACTTACAGAGAGGGAGAAAAGTCAAGGTGAGCCAGCCCCTCTCCAGTGCTCTGAGTCTCTGCCCACAGGTCTGCTCAAACAGCAGGGCTGGCTGAGAGATCAGATCCAGAGCTGCTCTCCCAGTGAGGTCTTTTCCACAATGCAAGGTCTATACAGCATTCCACCATGGGGAAGGATGTGTTATGCTGCAAAAGACAGGAGTGATGGCCCTTCAAATGCTCTCCAAGGGGTCTCTAATGCTCACTGCCATGTTCTGGCCTGCTCAAGCATGCAGAGATTTGCAGCGCTGGCTGTTAGAAGGCAACAGGAGGATCTTGCAGGCCAAGCAGAGCAGACAACACTGCTCTAATGGAAACTTTTCGATCCGATAAGCAAGAATGAAGAAGCCCTGAGCGTGGGCCTGAAAACTTTTTCATCTAGAGGAAGGTGTGGATGAGATGCTCTCCCACCTTTGTGCAGAGCCTGTGAAGAACAGGATTGATGGACACCTCAAAAAAGCACAAACTCTTTCCCAGCCTGGAGGGAACCACCATTGCAGCAGCCTAAGAGGCAGTCACAGGATCATACTCGCACAGGTCTGGTGTGGAAACCCTGCAAACATGAGGTGAGGTAGAACGACCTACCAGACATCCAAAGTCAGGTCACTCGCCATGCCTGAACAGGTTTTCAGGTTCTCTGAACATGTGATAGTCACACCAACCCTGTTCCCAAGAGCTCTCCATTGTCTTTCCCCTCACCTCAACTCATTCTACACCAGAACAGCCACCAAACCCACCAGAAAGGACTGCTTGGCCTCGTCGGTGCTTTCAATGCCTTTGGTATCGAACTTGCCCTGCTGCAGGCTGCTGTGCATGATGTTCACGGCACTGGTCACCCCTCTCTGGAAGTCCTGGAAGGTCGTGGCTGGAAAGCCCTGCTTCAGCTTGTTGTACAGAACCTCCCTATGGGGCAAGCAGAACATATCAGGGCTTGGAGCAAATACTGCAAGCCACAGCAGAGTTGTGCTCTGTGATGGGGGACAGCACTCTGTCTGAGCTGTGACCTGAACAAGGTAAGTGGAACTTAACAGGGACAAAAGAGGGCTGGCAAATATCTCCTGAGAGCATCTAAAGGACACAAGGCTGAAAAAAACCTACAACCACCCAGTTTCTGAGTTTTCCCAAAAATGCTGCCTGCAGCTGTCTGCTGTCTTCAGTCACGGTTCCCCACTCCCATGTTGCGATGAAAAAACAGGAGCAGGACAATTTCTGCAGGTTCACCCCAAGTTCAAGTTACAAAGCAATCTCACAGGCAACCCAGAGAACAATTAGGGGTGACCGTGTACCACCAAGCAGGATAGCACTCCAATGCTATATGGTGACTGAGTCGCATAAGGATTTGGGGCCATGAGGTTCCTTTTTCTGTTTGTTCTACAGGTGACCACCACTACTGTGAGAAAAGTATGCCCAGCTCCAGCTTCCCATGCCACACCTGATGCTGCTTCCTACGAGTATCTTCCATGGACATGACAAAGCAGAGGTTCAAAGGTGAAGAACACAAGCAAACACTGTTTGCAGAACATGAGGTGGAGGCGAGTTACAATGAACCTGGTGTATTTTCATTACCTGAAGTCAGACTCCAGCTCGGTGGTGGAGTGGTTGATCATGGCACAGAGACAGTCTATGCTGGAGCTGGACAGAGCACGCCCAATGCACTTCTTCACTATATAAAACACGTCATCCACCATGCTGGAGGTGAGCTGGCCCTTCTCATAGCTGTCCATGGCAACAGCCTGCAAAGAAAGCTGCCTCAGTGCCCTGAGCTCAGCGAGCAAAGGTGCCCTTTCAGAGCAGTGCTGTAAGACCAAACTGCCAGCCTGTCCATTTCACCCTGAGCTGAACTGTACCATGTGTGGCCTGGCATCACTCATCCTAGTTTTCAGTAGCCCATAGACCTGGAAGACCTGTCTCTGGAAGATACTCAGGAGTATGTTTGGAGTCAAAGTTCAGAAACAACTACTTGCTTTTCAAGGCCAAGGAAAACAAAAGACCTTCCCAACAACTGCAGACCTGCCATGTACTCATCTCCCTCACTAGGGATGCTCAGTAGAGGACTGTAGAGCACATGTAGAGGTCTCAGCCGCTAGCAGAGAGTGCAGGCTATTGCAAGCAGCAGTCTGAGCCCTACCTTGTTGACAGTCTCCCTCATGAAGTATTCCTCCATGGTGATGTAGTAGCCAATGAGCTCTTGCATCGTGCGGCTCAGCAGACAGTTGTTGAGGAGCTTGTCCAGGTATTTTTGATGCTCTACAGAATGCAAAAGAGAACCATCAGCAGGCACCAAGACAGAGGTTCCAGCTAATCCCCTTGCTGCCTGTCCTATGGGCACCCAATGGACACACACCTGCAAAGCCCAACCTGGAATAAATCACAGGCCTTGACTGTGGAGCTGAAATTGCTGAGCTGAATTTTGCAGGTGACAAAAGTGATTTCCAGAGCTCCATGGAATACCATAAACCCTGAGCGTGTTTACCCTGTGGCCTCCACCTTTAGGATCTGTGCCTGCAGCAACCAAAGGGCCCTCCCTCTCTTTGGGGACCTTGTTTATTGTGCTCTGCAGTCATTCCTAATGTTGGTTTCCCTATTAGAGGGAACAACCAGTGCTGAAAACAGATTTGGGGAGGCCAGGCTACACAATCCTCCTCCACAGAGTGCTCCCAAAGCATCTTTGCAGATCCTGTGTCACTGCTCTGCCACTAACTCAGATATATCTCTACTTCTGGCTGTAAGGAGCAGAGAGCCTGTAAGTATTGGTATTCAAGGTGTTACCTTGCTTTACCTCCTCTGAGGCCATGGAGTCTCCCACCTCAAAATCGGCTATTATTCGTCTCTTGATGAACCTCAAGTAGAGCTCACTGCGGGCGTTCATCAAAGTGACTTCTGTTAAAATAGGGTCAAGTTCCCTGGAAGGAACATAGCAAAAATCAAGGTAGAAAGCCTACAAAAGGAGAGACACTAATTTCATTCAGTTATGTAGTGTGTTTTCTGTTCTCTTGCTATGAGATCAATACTGTCCCTTTCCATCTGTGCTGTTGAGTGGCAAAGCTCAGCAGAATAACTGGTACGTGCAAAGAATGCACATAAAAACAAAACGTCCTGAAAAAAAATCATTACAGAGAAGCTTCTTTTTTCCTCATTGATGTGAGAACAACCACGTTAAAATCACAACAGCAAGGACTGCAAGACTTTAAGCAACCTGATATAACTTCAGAATTAGCCCTGTTTTGCATGGGAGGTTGGACTAGAGACCTTTGGCAGTCCTTTTCCTACCACAGTTTTGCTATGACTCTGTGAGCCCTACGTGGTCAGTGTTAGAAATATGTTCCTGCCATCTCCATGTATCTGCTTTTGTGCACAGATTTATGTTTCTCTGAAAACGATGAAGAATCTGTTTAAGCTCAACAGCTCAGGAAATGTGAGACCAAAAAAGCATGTGACAATGCAGAACACAGTGTTCAGATCACAGATGACTGAAAAAAAAGACTGTCACATCAGCAGCTTTTTCGCTAGCGTGCAAAAAAGAACTTTACAAATCCTGCTCAGAGCCTCACAACACACAAGTGGGACAAGGAACCATTATCTTTATTTTACAGATTAAAAAGCAAAAGCTCAGAAAACCTGGGATGCCTGCACAGTTACTCAGAGCAAATGGTAAGTGGATCTCTGTATTACCACTGAAGTCATGCAGGCTCACAGACAGATCTTGCTTGAGGAACTTAAGTTTTCTTTCAAGGCATGTTGAGAAGTCATGCAATGCCAGAAGGGCTGGGTGCACTTTCAAATGGCCTTACTTAAGGGCTATGCAAAAACTCAAGAAGAAAAGGAGGAAGATGGAAAGCACTTCAGTTCATTAGCAGGAAACTGATGTTTCCAGTGTTGCTGCAGCAGCAGTACAGGTTAAATAAGACCCAAAGATTTATTCCTGATTCTGTCATAAATTATCTGTCCAGGGAGCTGCTCCATTTTGTGGGCTCCGAGGACCGTAATCTGACCATCAAAAGGTAGTGGGCACAAGCAATTATAAAGTTTCAGTCCTTCGTGTGCAGTGATATTGCCAGCCCTCCAGCAATGTTTAGGGCCAATCAAGGCTCAAAAGTAACGAGTAAGCAAAATAAAGCACCAGCACAGAAGCTGCCTTTATAAAAGGGCAGTGAAAGGCACCTAACAATTGGATTTTATGCTTTAGTAGCCACAAAGCCTCTGGAAGACTGGGAGGGTTATCTAAATGCTAAGTAGTGTTAATAACAGCTCAAGAGTGGAAGGTTAGAGAGCAAAAAGAGGTTTTGTTTGTACCTTGGTTCAATCTTCTCTGCAGAAGAACTTCTCATCATGCTATTCTGAACTTGCTGGAACTGCAATCACAAAAAAAGGGAGAGTCATCAAAGTCTTTGCTGATGACTTGGAGTTAACAGCTGCTTCTCATGCTATAGCTTAAGGAGGTGCTTACTCAAGGAGGGTGATAGGAATGCTTTGCAGAAAGCACTGCCAGAGAAGAGAAACACATCTCTTCACCTCCTCCAAGACAGAGCTCAGCCTGCCAGGAAGGGCAGTGGCATGGGAACTCCAACGGAGGCACCAAGGTATGTGACCATGAGACAGTTATAGCAGTCCTGCATCTAACACAGAAGCAGGAACAAGACCGTGGGTAAGGTGTACTGAAAGTGCCCTACAGACCCGCAGAGCAAGGAATCCTGTACCCAGGGTCCACTTACCATGCTCCCAATGAATCCTTCTTTGCAACAGAAGGGATAGCTACAGGCTGGACTCCTTCAGCCATCAGTGCAAATATGGAAGAAAGCAAGGTTTCTCTTGATACACAAGGTCAAACTTTGCCACCTCTATGGCAGTCAGAGCCCCACGGAGTTGGATGGAGGCCGCAGTTGGCTGTGTCAGGCAGCATTACACGACCCTTACCTGCCTGTGATAGTCCCTCTCTTTGATGAACTTGTCCACCACCTTCTCCACCTGCCGGTCGCACTCCACTTGCAGGTGCTTGATGAGGGTGTACAGCCTCCCTGGCCCGTAGTAGGTCTCCACAATGGGCTGGTGGGTCTCCACAATGCGAGCAATCCCTGCAGGGAGAGGGGAAGCACAAGAGAGAGACTCAAGCAGGAGTTCCCATGCAGTCTGGACCCAGAGCAGAGCTACACAGGTCCACAGACAGGACCTAACAAGGGATCATTCACTCCCCAGATAAACAGTTTAGACTGTCCAGCCACTCTCTAGTGCCTCACTGAAGGCCTGTCATTACCAGCCTTCGTTCCATGGCATCTTCTCTCTGCATATGATGCCTTCCATCCTCTCTGCTGTTTATTGGAAGACTGCAGTGCAAATCTCCTGGAGTAGAAGCCATCTCTCTTCGTAAAGAGAGCTCCTGGCATGTGATGTGTGTCAGCTGCCCTCCTACCCAGCAACACACAAGGCAGAAAGTTTCCACAGGAAAAAGCCGCATGAGCTAAACCTGACAGGGGACATAACTGCCACCCAAGCCCAGTCTCAGCTTTCAGCACCTGCCAGGTTACAGGAGAAGAGCAGTGCTAGGAAAATCAGCCTAGGGAAAGCTCTGCTCTTATCTGTCGCGCAGATGCCCAAGAGAGCAAGCATTAGTAAAGGCAAGACCTCCTTGGAGAAAAAGCTCACCTCCAAGGAGGTTATGTCTACAATATTGCTTTCTTCTCACAAACTCTCTACTCCAAGACTTAGCAACGCTCCCCCTCTTTTGGCACTACTGCCAAGAAAGCCTTGGCAGCTCTAAGGACCTTCAATAGTAAAAAAGGTGCCAGGCTGGTAGAGTGACTTGGCAGTGGTGCAGCCTGGAATTATAGCAGACTTAATAGAGAAGATGGTTAATCACCATGGGGTCTCAATTACTGTCTTTGGCAGCACTCCCACAGAGCTTTCATACTGCCTTCTCTCCCTTCCCTCTCTGCTTTCAATCTCCTGAGGTCCTCCTTGAAGAGCCAGGCCTGGAGGCATCAACAGCTGCTCAGTCTTAAGGGATCCAATTTGTTTGTGTGGAGAGCTGCATGTCTGAAGAAACCTTCAGGGAATACCCATTTGTTTTGAGGATGCAGAGAACAGGAAGAGCTGATTCCTGGAGGAAGCCAACAAATCCTTTGCAAATCCACTTTGTGCCTGCACAAGCTGTATGTAGGAAAGCTTGCTTATTGTAATGCCCTCTCCTGGCTGGGAAAAAGTCTATTAGTTGTGTCCCCGTCCCTCTAGCATGACACTCCCATAGCTCAAAGGGGAAGGAGGCATTTTGTGATCTCCTGGTGCTAAAATTAAATGCATTTAAATTGATGGGCAGTCTCATCATGGACTATTTTCAATCGATCAGCAAAGAGGAAAGGAAGATTACCTTCGAAGAGGAGTGTCAGCGTGTCCGCAAAGATGACAGCAGCTCGACGGTCACTCATGTCTGTCCCCATCACCAACTGCAGGTTCTCTTCTGCTTTGTTGGCCACCTGCATGACAAAAGGACCAGTCAGCTGGTAATACTCAAAGATATTCTTCATCCCATAAGGCGGTCCTCTGTCTCTTGCCCTACAGAGCTTTTGCTGGCCTTCCTATTGCAAGAGCTATTGCTGTCGTTCCTGCTTTGAACAGGGACCCTCTCCTCTCTTGTGGAAAACTCAAGGATCAAGGAGAGGCAGAAACTTGCTTCTCTTTCCAGGCTCCCTTGTATGAGCTTTAAGCAAGCCCAAAGAGGAAGAGAGAAGCTAGCCAACCAGCAGGATCTGTATGCAGACACTACAAAGCCCATCCCAGGATGCAAAATGCAGGGAGAGAGATGAACAAGTGCTGGTTTCTAAGATTAACAGGCCAGAGCCAAGATCTCTTTCCACAACATCTGCTGACGGAGATTGGGTTTTGCTTTCCCCTAGGAGACCAGACAGGTCACAATATGTTTCACAGAACCTGTTACCTGCTTGCAGAGGTACTCCGAGAACTTGCTCAGCCCCTCTTCATGTAAGCCTAGCAGAGGAAAGATCTTGAAGAACCGTTCCACCTGGGGCAAGTCTCCCTGCTTCATAGCTGTGTCGAATTTCTCTGTGACAATTGTCTTTAGGCGCTGCTCTGCTTCCTGCAGGAGCTTCAGGTTGGCATCAATTATGCCCCCTGGTCAAAAGGACAGAAAAGAAAGGGAAAAGTGACAGCACAATGTTAGTACTGTATCAAGGGCTACCTTTTTTCCCAGGACACTGTGCAGCCCTAAGGTGGTAAAGCAGAAGACACACTGGAATTCCCCTACGAGCAAAGAAAGATAGGTACATGTGTGATGTACACACAGCTGATGTCGTGGTCTTGCACGGAGGATGCGAACACATCAACCCGGACATTTCTTTTAGAGATCAGGCAATTTACTCCTTCATTTCCAGTTGCTCTGCTTGGTAGCACACCATAACACTGCAACATTTCTCCCTGACAGAGCCTTCTCCCTCACTTCTTTTGTCCTGAACATTTTGTCCTTCACCTAGTTAGCACATGAAATATTATTAAAGCTGTGTGTCAGGAACTCTCCTTTCAACTAATGATAATTCAAACCTAGTAACACATCAAAAACATTCATTTCTGTCTTACTCTATAACATACTAAGATCTTTGGCTAGCATTAGATCTTCTGCTTTGTCTACTGGGCTGAGGCTATCTGCCATGGAAATCATGCAGCCTCTAGTTATCTACTGGAAAGGTGACTTATCAGCTTCTCCTCACAAACAGTACTTACCTTCCTTGCCCTGACGACTGAGCTCAATCACCGATTTGTCCAGAGACAGATAGCGATGGATATGAGCTGCTGCTTGTTCATAATCTTCATTTCGCAGGGCTGTTTGAACTCCATCCATGCAGAACTTCAGGTCAAGGATGTCATCAGCTCTCTGAATGGCCTGATAGAGTCGATTCTGCAAGAAAGGCAACCAGTAAGGCTTCCTGCTGCGTGCTGGACCAGGGAAAGATAATTAAAGAGGAGAAGACAGTGGGGGGTGGAAGGAAAGGAAGAAACAGACTGAAGCAATACTTCTCTACACAATAAACAACTATGTAAGCAGAAACCCCAAACTACTTAAAAAGTCATAAGATCAATGGCTCCAAAAGAGGAACAGCATTTGTCAAAACTCAGGTTGAACTCAGAGGCCATACTCCACTTAAACAAACAGGCAGAGACCAGAGATACAACTGCACATTATCTGTTTTGATTTGAGCAGTTGTGCTGAGCACTGGGACTTGACGCCTCTTAGCCTATCTCTGTACAAAGAATGTAACAGCCCGGATTCCTGACTGGTCTTGGGTGACAATGACCATCTCCACTGTGCTCTGTGCTGCAGTAGTTGACAAGAGTGCTAATGAAGACTAACCTCAGCTTATTTACCATATTCAGAAGGGCGTGCCGGAGAACCAGCCGCTACATGGAATAGCATATGCATTATTTACTCTTGTACCCTGCAATATCCAGGAGCCCAGCAAGATACCATTACCTAGCAACACTAGATACTGCTAAAATAAAGAACAAAGTAGTTTCCAGCCCACCTGCCCACTAAAGAAAAGAGCAGATTTCTCTATTGGGCTGTGAGCATATGAGCAGATGGAATATGGCTTGGTGGTTACAAGTCCCAAACACCCCCTCAGTCCAGTTACCTTGGCAAGGTCAAGCTGGCGGACTTTACTGCTGACGTTCTCAGCCAGGTTACAGGTGAATGTGATCATCCCTGCCAACTGCTGGGCATCCCCCTCGATAAGCTGCAAATTAGGGCTGGAAACACAAGCAAATTGAACATGAGATGCAAATATTAAGTAGTCGGATGGTCTGCAACAGCAGGATGGTTCTTCCTCCAAACCCAACTGCTCCTGTCAGCTACAGTATCTCTCATTTCATGACCCCCCTAAAGGAGCAAAGCATCAAAATCAAACAGACTGCTTTGGAAGAAGCTGCACAGGCAGACTAACAACTGTCTCGCTACCAGACAGGCTACTGAGGCTTTATGATACTCTCCACTTCTGAAGTGGAAGGTGAAGTCTGTAAACTTGTACTCCAAGCTTCTACTAGACATGAGGCCACTTCAGATGAATTTCCAGGCTGCCTGCACAAGCTCACCACAAAGAGGCAGCAATATCTGTCCACACCTGTAAACAGCCTGACACAAGACATCTGATCCAAGCATTCATGCTGAAAACTGACAGTCTCTGGGGTGAGACCTTCAAAGAACTGCCCAGCCTACACCGGAACGGGTCAGTCCATGTGAGGGCGCAGCAGTTCCCTCTGTTAGTGCTGCTTAAAAGAACTGGGCGCCTGGGGCTGAGGATCCAACTACTGTTCCCTACCACAAACTGATTTAAAGTCTGACATTTTCTCAGAATGATGTGTTTCCCTCACAACACTCAAGGGAATTTTCATGTCATGCAGTAAGCAGAGAGGTACTGAACAGTGCGCAGAAGCCCAAAGAAGGGGAGAGGGTGGGGATCACTAACCCCATGCGATGAAGTGCAACCATCTTGTTCTCTATAGTGCTTTGCTGTTCCAGGAGGGCATCCAGCTCTTCCTGCACGACTTTCTGAAAGAAAAGGACGAAGGAAGTCTTGTGTGACTTCAGCTCTCCTCCAGGCCAGCGACTTAGGGCAGACCCTACATCCAAGTCAAGGACACGCAGCTAGGAAGGCGTTAGCACTTCCGAGAGCTTATACGACAAATAAATCCTTCCTAAGCTCTCATTTTAATCCTGTAAATTTTTATATTTTTTGCGATTTGAAAGCATCAGTTATGCAAACCTCATCACACAACTTTTAAGTCAGGTAACCCACAAACTCCTCCCCTGGCCGAGCTCTCAACGCAGGAGGACCCTGAAACTGCAGGCTGCTCACGATTCGGGGACACCGGCTCCGCGGAGGCGGCACCATCCCCCCCACGTCAGGCCCGTATTTAATCCCTCTGCAAGGGATCCGGACGACTAGGAAAGCCGTTGACAGCGAGGCACCCGCTCTCCTTGTCACCACAGCAGCGGGCCGGAGGGGGCTAGAGCAGCCAACACCTCCGGGGTGCCGCGTCCCGGCCCGCCCCAGCCCGCCCCGTCGCAGCCGATGGCCGCCGGGAGCCCCGCGGCCTCACGGGGCCCGCCCCCCCACACACCTCCTCCTCACACAGCCGGCTGTAGGCGGCCTCCAGGTCCGACAAGTCGGTGAGCGACTCAATCCGCTCCATGGAGAGGGCGGAGGCGGCCGAACCACCGCCCTCTCCCCCCGGCGCCCTCAGGCCCGGCGCCGTGGCCGCCGCCATCTTGGGGTGCAGTGACGCGGCCGATACCGCCGTGAGGCCCGTCGGGCCTGCCGTGGGCGGTGCCTGAACGTTTGCGGCCGCTCGGTTCCGCCTGGCGGCGCGGGAGGCTTACGCTCCCTCGGCGCTTTACGCTAGAAGGCGGTTGAGGGGGTGGCGTTCGGAGGTTCTTGGTACGGGAAGCGGCTGCCGTGGCCCCGCGATCATTCAGGCGCCGCTTCGGGCAGCCTCTGCCGCCACAGGGTGCGCGCGCGCCGGGCGTCGCGGAAAGCCCCTCGAGGAGGCGCGGGAGGGTAGCGCGCAGGCGCGGGGCTCATGGCGGAGGGGGCCGGAGGGGCGCCCGCCTAGACAGGACCGGCATCCGCCGCCATCCGCTTCCATCAGTACGGTAAGGGCGGCCCGGCCGCGCCGCGCCCGCCCAGTGGCGGCCCCTCGGCTGGGGACCCGCGGTACGGGCCGCCATTTTGGCGGGGAAAGCGGCCACAGGCTCTCGAGGCCTGGCCTCTGGGGCGCGGCCGGACCGGGCGTTGATCCGTGGCCGGTTCCCGAGGGTTGCGGCCTTGTTCCCTGCAGGGCGTGGGGAGTCCGCCCGGGGTGCGGGGCGGTGCTGGGCGACGGGCCCGGGGGGGGGGCTGGGCAAGGCTCGGGGTGGCTGAGGGCCGGTTCCCCTGGCGTGCGGCCTGCAGGACCCGGCGGAACGAGTGCGGCGGCTTGTGTGGAGCTGGGGTTCCCTCCCGCCTCTGCCCCGGGGAAAGGAATCGACTCCGGCGCTCGGTCTGAGCTGTTGTGGGTTGCTCGGCTGTAAACGAAACGGCAAGATCAGTGAGGTGTAACGGCGTAGTGCACCTCTAGAGGGATTCCCTAACTTTGGTTTCTGAACAGCTAAAACCGCGAGAGGAGTAATTAGCTGGAAGTCCTGATCAGTTATGCGGCAGTAAGGAGCTCAGCTGTCGCTCGGCAGTCTGGTTGCGTTTGGGAGAGCCTTTTGCCTCGTAGTATTAATAAATACCAAATAACTTCAGCTGGGCGACAGTCAGTCTTCTAATGTAAAGTGATACATGCAGACAAACAGGAGGGCAGCGGTTCTCTCTCTGTGCTGTATGGAAGGCTTTGTTTTTGAAAATTATCTATTTTTGCTCTACTTGTTGCAGACCTAGTGGAGCTACGATAAGGTGAAGTGAGCCCATTGCCAACATGTTTCTCTACAACCTGACGTTGCAGCGTGCCACCGGCATTAGCTATGCTATCCATGGCAATTTCTCAGGTAATTTTTCCTTGCTTCATGCTTCTTGGCTTGAGCTCTTTCAGATAGTAGAGGAAAAAATGCATTTGTCCTTTAGTTGGTTTGGTTGTCAAAGCTCATCTGCTTCAGCATAGCATTAGTGTTTTGCTTGTATGTTATTGTTTGCTCTTGAGCATGTTACTTGAGTTGTTGTAACTTGTGGAAAGATCAAGAGAAGTTTGGCTTGATTAGCTATAGGTTTAATTTATTATTTTGTCCACTTTCCTGATCTGTTAAAAGATGCTCGAGCAAAGGTGGCACCTACTGTGGTGAATAAGTTGGTCTGAATTTCTCCACAGTAATCATAAAAGTCTTCGGCATTTAGTAGTCAGGAAGTTTTATCATCTTTCTTATAGTGCTTCTTGAAGTTGCGTGTTTTGCTGTGTTGTTGCTAACTTCGTGCTTTGGCTTCTTTAGGAACCAAACAACAAGAAATTGTCGTTTCCCGGGGCAAGATCCTAGAGTTACTCCGCCCTGATCCCAACACAGGGAAGGTTCACACCCTGCTGACTGTGGAAGTGTTCGGAGTCATTCGCTCCCTCATGGCCTTTAGGCTGACAGGTGGAACCAAAGACTATATCGTCGTGGGTAGCGATTCGGGACGCATTGTTATTCTGGAGTACCAGCCCTCAAAGAACGTGTTTGAGAAGATTCATCAGGAAACCTTTGGCAAGAGTGGATGTCGCAGAATCGTTCCAGGCCAGTACTTGGCTGTAGACCCAAAGGGCCGTGCTGTCATGATCAGTAAGTCAGTCTGTCGGCTTGTTTTCTCCTTATTTTTTTTCCTCCTGTCTTGCAGATATTTATTTTGGAGCAAGTTTCTGCCAGGTGTAATTGGAAGTGTGTCTCAGGCAGTTTGTTAGGCTATGAGATGTGTAAGGAGAATGCAGGCATTCAGAATAGTTCCTTGACGTGGATGGAATTGCACAAATTAATTCTAACGCTGGGCCAAAACAATTTGGAAAGAGGCCAGCTTGCTTAGCGGTGCACAGGGCCCTGAAGTGTGATGTCCGGGAGAGAAGTTGGGATTGCAGGCATTGGTGCTACAGCGTAGTCAATCAGCTCCCATAGCCTGAAATGATGTTATGAATTCATGTCTCTTCTCTGAGATGTATCATGGAGACAATTAGATGCATTTCTGATCAGGCTTCACAGGTAGAAGGACATTTGGGTGATTTTTTAATTTTTTTTTTAAATCGGATTTACCATGAGGTGTCTTAGTTGGTACATGAACTTTCTCAGTTTGCTGAAGTCAGCTTTGGGTGGTGCTGCTTTCCTGCATGCTGAGAGCAGGGACTTGCAGTGATAGGTAGTTTAACAGTGCCCCTTTATATCAGGAATAACAATAAATAATAATATTTCCTTTCTGACAGGTCTGGTTTTCGTGGGTGAGAAGGTAGCACAGTCATAATTGTGCCATTCACATTGATAGTTAAGAGTGATAAGCGTTTGTTGTGTTGTGGATGCTGTGTATCAGGCACGAATACCTTTTCTTAGTTAAAATATTTCTAAGGAAAGGTCTTCTTGCCAAATGGCTTTAAATGGTGGAACATCTGGCTGCTTTTTTCGATTTGTTTTTGCTTCCCTGGAGTCTGTCATCTCTTGTGTGATGGAATGAGTGAGTAAATCTGCCTGTAGCCATTGTAGATTGAACTTTGGGCTAGATGGCCGTAGCCTGAAGGGTCAGTCTTTGGCTTTGAAGAGCTGGAGTTGTCATTTGCGCTTGTGGCCTGACATTAAAAATGAGACATTTGAAGTTAATTGGGGGCACAGAGATAAATACCAACAGTGAACTTCGGCAGCAGTAGTAACACTGATGTTCTCTTGCAGAGTTTTATACTGATCTTGGAATGCAGGGATGATCAGACTTGATCACTGGGTAATGTGCTTCAGGTGCTGTTGTCCTTTCCTTGCAGGTGCTATTGAAAAGCAGAAGCTGGTGTATATCTTGAACAGAGACGCTGCTGCTCGTCTCACCATTTCCTCCCCGCTGGAAGCCCACAAGGCCAATACCTTGGTCTACCATGTGGTAGGAGTCGATGTGGGATTTGAAAACCCGATGTTTGCTTGTCTGGAAATGGATTATGAGGTGGGAAGAACTTGATCTTCCTTTGCTGTCTTTTGAGCTTTGTTGTTCCTCTTCTGTTGTTAATCTGTCTGTGGGGGTGGGGAACGCTGGCTGCTTTTGCTGACTGAGACGATTTTCATTTGTTGCGAGCTTACTTGCTTTTTGTTTTGCCTTCAGTCAGAATAGGCAAGTCTCTTCTGTCTTGGTGATTCTTCTTAAATTCTTGCTGTTCAACTGCAAATGTGCGTATTTTCTTCCTGTCAAGCTTTTCTTGTGCATCTTCCAGCAAGTTGTCTTTTGGACTTCATTCTAATGTTACTCAGAACTGTTTCGCCATACGTCAGCTTTGCTCTTCCTTTAATACCTTTCTTGAAAGACACCTTCATGTGTTGTGTTTTAGGAAGCAGACAATGATCCAACGGGAGAAGCAGCAGCCAACACACAGCAGACATTGACATTTTATGAACTGGACTTGGGTTTGAACCACGTTGTTAGGAAATACAGTGAGCCCTTGGAAGAGCATGGCAACTTCCTTATAACAGGTACTTGCCACCTGGCCACTAAGTCATTTTCCTATGCATCTGCTTGGTTCCCATTCCCCAGGGAAACAGAATAAATACGCTTTACATCTTAATTGTTTTGATGGTAGTCTGAGCCATTAGTATAAATTAATTGATCTTGGAGTCAGGTAATGAGTGTGGTTCGCACATGGAAATGTGCAAGAATTCATAGATACAGCTGCAGTTTGAAAGTGCTCCTCATCTCTTCCTTTAGGTGTATTCTGGATATTCTCTGAATTCCAAAGCTAAGAGATATTAACTGAAATAAGCTGGTAGCAGATGCAAAAGCATGTATTTTTAGGTAGTGCATAGGTGCTGTTGTACTCTGTTGCATGGGATTCCATCAGCTAATATGCATTCAAAAGGCAGATGAATCCATGGACTAAAAGCCCACTTACAGGGATTGGGTGCAAAGCCAACCTAACGCCTTTGACCTGTGAAACAGCTGAACTGCTGCAGATTCTTCTCGAAGCACAAAGGAAGCTAAGCTAGGAGAGCATCTTTGTGTGCTTGCGCTGTTGTTGCATCTTCTGTAGTCAGCCATCAGACACCAAATATTGGGCTGGATCTGACGGCTACTACTATTTTGATGATCTTTTGTTACACTGGGATCTCAATAGAAGCATTTTAAAAAACATACTTTAAAAATGAAAGGTACCTACCAGATGGTTTTCTGACATTTTTTTGACAGCAAGCATACATGCCAGTAACCCAAGGGTTGTGTTTAACTGACAAGTTGCTAATGTAGTATTTTGGGTGTCATGGCTTTCTAGACAAGAATAAGCCAGGAGGGCTAAACATAAGCAATTTGTCTAGAGCTGCATCCTTCCTTTTTCTCCTTCCTGGTCCCCGAGTTCCATCTGCCCTGTTCTTATGCTGACACAGGCAGCTGTA